GTTCCTAAAATATCTACAGCTTACGGTCACATCACATTGAAACACCATTCTTGTTCTTTCACCGAAGTTAAGTAACGTCGAGACTGGTCAGTTCCTAGATGGATGACTGCATGGAAATATCAATTTCTGTAAGCTTAGATGTGCGGGTGGTGTAATGAATAATGGCTCGGAATTGTTAATCTCTGAACCAAGTTCCAAATCCTGTTGGTTTCGGTATATATACTTACGCGCAAAATACCATTGAAAAAGGATCCACATATTCTATCCCCAGGTGTAGTTTAATTTGTATAACTAAAACATTATTCAAACCCTATTTACGAAAAATACATCAATGAAATCTGATCTCCTACAAACTTATTTCTTACAGCGAATACACATTTTATTCATATGAATCTATCCTAAAAATTCTTGTCGGCATTAAATAACCCATTGAGGCTGGTATGCTTTAAAAGAAAATAAACCCAAATCCTAAGATATCTACTACCACACGACGCCCGTGTGAGTTTTATGACGCTTATACCGTGATGAAAATAACAAAAATACTACTGGAGAAGTATATGACTGTCGTTATTTATAGATTAAACATTTATGTTATCTACTAAAGTAACGTTTAAATAGATCAGTGTACGGAAAGAGAAGGAGACGGAGTAAAAAATAACAAATGAAAGTGATTCAGAGAAATTTGATGTTGAAGAAAAAAAAAACAGATATATGAGGAAAGAAGAAAAACAAGAAAAAGTTATTAAAAAAGAGATTCATTGAAAGAAATGGGAAAAAATAAGGGCAAAGTTCATACAATGCACACATGTTACGATTGAGAATTTTGAACAGATGGAAAAATGGACCTTTATGAATTGAAACCCATGAGCAAAGATGATGAAGATACTTGAAGCAAAATATATGGCTCCACAGAAAGATGCTGAGGAAACCATGGACCAAATATGTGAGCAACAACGATATTTTAGAGAAAATGTAAACAAAAAGAAAACTCATACTTAACATCAGAGAGAAACACTTGAGGTTTCAAGGGCACATAACGAGGAAAGAAGACTCGGAAAATCTGATACTCACAGGACAGATTGAAGGCCAGAAGTACAGAGGAAAACAATTTATAACATTCCAAAATAACAATTTCGATTGAAAGCTTTAAGATAAACACAGATAGTAGATGGTAAGTCTACAAATATAAAGGGCATCAGTAAACGTGTTGACTTAGAGCGAAAAAGAAAAAAACAGTGAGTTATACAAATGGAAGTGGAATGAAAGCAGTAAGGAGAATTATCTTTTTCTTTCGGCTTTTACTCCACTTCCATTTGTATAGTCCCTTCCTTTCTTTCTCTTTATTATTCATAAGAATACGAGAAATGAATACAAAAAGAGACAAATACAAACTTAAAAATATGAAAGTGAAAGGGAAATAAAATTATATATATATATAAGAAAAGAATGAAAAGATATAAAGAGAGAGGAGGTGAAGAGAGGACAATATAGTTATAACAGAAGAGAAAAACGGCTGGAATGATAATAGGCACAAAAACACATTACTTCTATTATTCGGACTCTTATCCTCATCGCCATATTCACGACGTTTCGAACTTTCCGGCCTTGTCCAGGTGATTGGAATTTTGAACTGAACAATTTATTTCGTCCACCGGGGTAGATTTTTCTAGTTCCACGAGACACGCTCTCTTCCGGATGTCTCACTTATTTGCCTTTAACGCAAGTTTGAATTCCGCTGCGGCCTGGTATTGAACTCACAACATTTTGGATCTAGTCACTGGATCAAACCAACGCCTTTATCCACTGGGTCATGTGTCTTTGAGGACATCTATACACGAATTTTTGGTCTAAAAATCCTAATTTCTCAGCTTCATTTTTACCAGTACTCATATTTCAATTTTTCTGTTATCACTATTGCATTTTTTTTTTAACCAGAGTTTATATTACCTTTTTTTTTTGTTATTCACTGCTTCTCTCTAGCACTCTTTATTACTGGTTTCTATATTGTATTCATGTCTATACTTGTCCGGTTCAGGAGCTTTTTTGTGGTCTAGAATATGTGATAATTCCTTAATTTTTGGTATTTTCCAGTGATGCTCTTTCTCTATTATTTCACCCTCATCCTACAGGGGGCGGCGATCACCCTTTTCACTCCATATATGCTCAGCTACGCTTGGTTATTTTCTATTTCCCCTTGTGTTGCCGTGTAAATAATGTAAATAATCATAATACCTCATCTCAGAGATATAGACAGATATAGAAAAATAGATATCTGAAATGAGAATAAACAAGGAAGAGCGACGGGGTGAGTGATTTGGTTTTTACGGCTTACTAAATTTTTATAAGTTATTTAAAGACAGAAAAGATTTTTTTTTTTGGTGAGGATATAATGAGGATTTACTGATATAAGTCCGGCTAATTAGCGCATAGCTTGGCTGTGAGAAGAAGTGGCTTCATACATTCACAAGGGTATTTGTTTGTAAATGAAACCCAACTGAAAATGGAACTCGACTCTACGATTTCCAGTTACGAACTCCTAAATATTAACAGCTGGAACTCCCAAGGTATCAGCCATCTAGGTACAGACTAGGTTCAATATTTCTTAAAATCGGTGATCTTACGAGAAGCGATGTTCCAATGAGATATGACTGTAAGCGAAGAGAGGGGGAGAAAAAAAGAAACGGAGACAGACATACAAACACAATATGTGTAGACATACATAGGCATCTATCTTAAGAGATAAAAAAAGCAAAGACAAAAGATTAAGAGAGAAATAAAGTGTGTGTGAGAAAGAGAAAAAGACTTGATAGAAAAAGCCGAAAAAGTGTAAAGAAATAACATAATGTGAATGAGAAAGAGAAAAAATATATAGTGGAGGAGAAAAGTTAGTTGAAAAACAGCACACGGGATTTTATCCTTGAACGATGATAAATGTTTGTACGTTTTCTTTTTTTCTTATATGATATTCAGTTAACTACAAAAATATATAAAAAATGATATCTAAACTCTTTTACATTATAAAATTTAAAGACAAACTGAAACGTAAAGTAAATATTATAAGTCTAAATTTAACGATTTTTAACAGTATCAGGTATTCCATAAACAATGGATTTGTGCATTCGTTGCATCATGTTGTGAGCCTTTTCGCCTATTTTCACTTCAAGAAGTATGCAGGCATATATAACCTTATTTTTGGCTAGTCTTCAAGATTTACTTGCAAGCAGATACACCAGGATATGATGTAATCTCATGAATCCTAGAGTTGAAAATTATTCATTTAGACTCAAATCATGAATGACTGATGCTGTATCGGTTTGAAAAAAATTGAAATCATCAATTGACGATATCAATTGTTCTCGAAGGAAACATCAATTGACGATATCAATTGTTCTCGAAGGAAACATCAATTGACGATATCAATTGTTCTCGAAGGAAACATCAATTGAGGATATCAATTGTTCTCGAAGGAAACATCAATTGAGGATATCAATTGTTCTCGAAGGAAACATCAATTGACGATATCAATTGTTCTCGAAGGAAACATCAATTGAGGATATCAATTGTTCTCGAAGGAAACATCAATTGAGGATATCAATTGTTCTCGAAGGAAACATCAATTGACGATATCAATTGTTCTCGAAGGAAACATCAATTGACGATATCAATTGTTCTCGAAGGAAACATCAATTGACGATATCAATTGTTCTCGAAGGAAACATCAATTGACGATATCAATTGTTCTCGAAGGAAACATCAATTGACGATATCAATTGTTCTCGAAGGAAACATCAATTGACGATATCAATTGTTCTCGAAGGAAACATCAATTGACGATATCAATTGTTCTCGAAGGAAACATCAATTGACGATATCAATTGTTCTCGAAGGAAACATCAATTGACGATATCAATTGTTCTCGAAGGAAACATCAATTGACGATATCAATTGTTCTCGAAGGAAACATCAATTGACGATATCAATTGTTCTCGAAGGAAACATCAATTGACGATATCAATTGTTCTCGAAGGAAACATCAATTGACGATATCAATTGTTCTCGAAGGAAACATCAATTGACGATATCAATTGTTCTCGAAGGAAACATCAATTGACGATATCAATTGTTCTCGAAGGAAACATCAATTGACGATATCAATTGTTCTCGAAGGAAACATCAATTGACGATATCAATTGTTCTCGAAGGAAACATCAATTGACGATATCAATTGTTCTCGAAGGAAACATCAATTGACGATATCAATTGTTCTCGAAGGAAACATCAATTGAGGATATCAATTGTTCTCGAAGGAAACATCAATTGAGGATATCAATTGTTCTCGAAGGAAACATCAATTGAGGATATCAATTGTTCTCGAAGGAAACATCAATTGACGATATCAATTGTTCTCGAAGGAAACATCAATTGAGGATATCAATTGTTCTCGAAGGAAACATCAATTGACGATATCAATTGTTCTCGAAGGAAACATCAATTGGCGATATCAATTGTTCTCGAAGGAAACATCAATTGACGATATCAATTGTTTCATCAATTGACGAAGGAAGGAAACATCAATTGACGATATCAATTGTTCTCGAAGGAAACATCAATTGACGATATCAATTGTTCTCGAAGGAAACATCAATTGACGATATCAATTGTTCTCGAAGGAAACATCAATTGACGATATCAATTGTTCTCGAAGGAAACATCAATTGACGATATCAATTGTTCTCGAAGGAAACATCAATTGACGATATCAATTGTTCTCGAAGGAAACATCAATTGACGATATCAATTGTTCTCGAAGGAAACATCAATTGACGATATCAATTGTTCTCGAAGGAAACATCAATTGACGATATCAATTGTTCTCGAAGGAAACATCAATTGACGATATCAATTGTTCTCGAAGGAAACATCAATTGACGATATCAATTGTTCTCGAAGGAAACATCAATTGAGGACGCCTGCTGTTTAAGTGTTAAACGGAAACAAACTTTTCTCATCGAGAGAGACAGACAGAGACAGATAGAAACAGAGAGGGAAACGATAAAGAAAACAAGAAGAGTATAAAAAGTATCCATAAATAGAAAATAAAGGAGCAAATTAAGAGAGATACAAATATTGAGAAACTAAGGGAACAGGAAAGCGAAGGAGCCGGTCTGAGAGAGAGTTTTAGTAGAGAGAAAAGACGAAGCGAGGAAAATGAGAATGAATTTAGATAAAGTGTAATAGAAGAAAAAAAACGAGAAAATAGGTTGAGAAAAGAGACAGAAAAGATATTAGTGCCAGATAGAGAGAGAGAGTAACTGGCAAAGATATAGAACAGATAAAGGGATAGAAGGAAAGAGAAGTGGTATATGGAGAGTTGAGTAGGAATTCAAAATGGCAAGTCTAAGAGAGAAAGAGGACCGACAAAAGATATCTGAATAGAGACGGATATATATATATATATATATATATATATATATATATATATATATATATATATATTATATATATATATATATATATATATATATATATATATATATATATATATATATATATATATATATACGTATACACACACACATATATATATATATATATATATATATATATATATATATATATATATATATATATATATATATATATATATATATACAGAGAAATGAAGGTAGAAGGAAGAGTTATAGACAAGAGTCATAGAATAAAAGAAAATAGAACATATGAAGTGAAAGTAATACAGAGAAAATAGATGTCTAAGAAAATAAAAGAAACAAAAGAAAATGCAGATATATATGAGGAAAGATAAAGTAAATAAGAAAAATCATAGATAGATACAAACAGACTGACATAGATAGATAGATAGATAGATAGATAGATAGATAGATTAATTATCTTCACGAGCTTGAAATCTTTGAATATTCAATATAAATCTCATGGCATATAGAGTGCTAAAAATACTCGGCTCGACCCACTTCTCAAAATCTGACTCAATGAATAAATGTCACAGTTTTTTAAGGACTTCTTGGTCTAGCCAAGAACTTTTCAGCAACACCTCGCAAATTTAAATACAATTTTCATGAGGAGAAACTGGAGAATAAGCCGATATTTGTGTTACAAAAATATAGTTTCAGTTGTTAAAAAAATTAAACGCCGTAAAATCAATAAAAATAAAATTCGAACGAATGATACACTGACAATTTAAAAACCAACGGAAATTCAACTAATTAGTAAAATCTAATAACATCTTCTCTGCTAATTGCATCGCTAACTGAATTTATCTCTTGGATTTTTTACAAAAATCAAGTAGCAGAAAAAGTTCATGTAAATACATGAACCTTCTAAAATCTCAAGAAAATATCGATTGGGCATGAATAAATTTAAGATATTTTAAAGAAAAAATCCTTGGAAAATAAAAATTAGGTTGTGTGAGAAGTCTGCTGTCTTGGAAAATATGAATTACAACAGAATGTTTTAAACGAAGTAAAATAGTGTTTTGTTTGCTAAAAACTTTTGGGTTTCATTTGTCATATTAGGAGGATGGCATTGAAATGTTTTCACCTCGTTTTATTTCTTCGAATCAATACATTATAAAGATCAGATAACTAACCGAGAATATTCAGGTAGTGAATCTTACTTAATACTGCAACTTAATGCTTTCACAATAAAATTTGTCATAATTATCCAATGTTGCTATAATCTTTTGAATATCCTTATATTGATTATCACTATCGTATGAATTTGAGTTTATAATCAGTCAGTTATGTGTAATACGTGATACACGCTTAGGCGATCATGTATCGAAAGATACATGACTGACGAGGCAGATTTGCACACGCAGTAAGTTGCATTTTCTTTCTGCGGTAGACCAATTGCCATTTCTTTCTGCGGTAGACCAGTTGCCATCCAAGCCTCTAGAACCCGGTCTGTCCTACTATTTACCCATAGCTGGAGGAAGAAGAATAGGTATCAGACCTTTACCAAGTTTATTAGCACGTAACAGATTCGACTGGAATCTCTCTGATTCCTCAATCCGAGCCGCTATCCATTACTCCACCGTGTCTCCCTTATACTATATGACCTTATTAAACATATTGATGATATTGTTTTGGAAGTCTCATTTTTTATTATGTAGAGTGCGAGTTCAATTTTATTTATAAATAAATTCAAAAGATGCAAGCATCGAAACATTTAACGTAATATTCCACATATCTGAATAAATTATTTTATCATTTTATCATTTCATGGTAATATCGTCTCCTAGTTATTATATAAACATTTCTTTTAGTTAACTTTTTCAATTTAAAAATTTAAAATTCTTGTTGAATATTGTTTTCTATTTTTATATTCAGCTACTTTAATTAACATTATGACCGTCTAGGCAATAGACTTTGAAGGACAATCTGCAGAATATATTCTTTATTTGAAAACTTCTTGGTTGTAAACAGTAACATTTTGACAAATAAGTTTCTGCATTATACTTGACATTTTTTTCAACCTTTTCAGATCTATAATTTCCCCGTTTACAATAATAGCAACAAACGTTAATGTACCCCCACCGGTATTTCATTCTATGTCGTATTGGCTATAAAATTTAGTACATAAACCAGTTCAGTCTAATATATATCGACATTGGACAGTAAAAATAACTGTTGAGAAATTCGTATTCACGTATTTCTTCGTCCAACGCCGCACATGTTCTCTTTGTTCAGTTTATTTAAACATGATAGTTGTATTTTATATTTCTAACCAATTAGCTGCATATACTGTAATGTTTTGCATTTATAGAAGTAACATATATTTTCTAGCTTATTGCCATTTTTATTTAATACAAATGACTTTCTGTTGCATTCCGATAACCTGGTATATTTTACATTTTTGTTTTGCCAGTGTCTTCAGTTTTATTTTTGATTGTTGTTTTATTCAATGTTTCTGCAAATTGAAAATATTTATTCCTATCACTTATTAATATTGATCTTGATTTTTGTTACCAATATTTTTATGAAAACATTGACTTCTATAATAAAATTCGACTTACTCTGGTTCATTAAAAAAAAGCTGTACACTCAAATTTAATATTTTGTGTATAGTTGTGCCAGAGAGACTAGTATTTATTTGTCGGGAACATCGGAAGGAAACGAAATGTATCTGGTTTAAAAATAATATATATTGATTTGATTGAGATTGGAGTGAGCCCTTTGTAATTTGGCGTAACAAAATTTCACCCATAAAACCGATCTGGGTAGCATTCAGAAAAAATCAGTTTTGGTTCGGCAGTGGGTCGTTTCATGGTCAGAACTTGGTACTAGTAGTGATACTAGATATAGGTCAGTGTCAGTTTACTGTGTTTTTCTCGGCCCTAATAAGGGTAGAAAATATGAGCAGATGACCTCTTAACTTCTACACGTAACACGCATGGCTGGTTTCTTCTTTTGTTCCGGTTTCCTTCCCCGCCCCTTCTCCTCATCTAGATGTCAATTTCCGGCGCGAATTACAAGCAGTACAGCATGCCGTTTCCAAATTTCTGGCAAAGTGATTTGCGTCATGTTGGTCTTTTTTTCTCATGGTCGTTGCCCAACTGACCCTACTATAATGTGCAGTCAATAAAATCAAAAGGAAACATCACGCATGCACAGAATTCAAAGTTATATAGTGGCGACAATTTACCCATATATAATAATAAAATTCCAATTTCACTCTTAGACTTAAATCATTTTATTGTTATTGTTGAGTTGTGGTGTGCTTAAAATTTCCCACTGATGCATTTCGTCTACTTTCCAAGATTTTTTCATAATATTGCTGCCTGAATCTTGTGTCATCAGATTTCTGTAGCCTTACAGGAATAGCAAAGAGAATTCCTCTTTCCGTTTCGGCTTGAATAGTGCTCTCAACTGTCATATCCCATGTCTTCTTGAGGTATTTCTGCATTTTTCATGATTTCTGTTCAAGGGCAATCTGTTTCTCTGTCACTGCTGCGTGCAGGCATACAGATTCTGTCTATATTTCTAAGATGAGCTATTATGGACATTATTTACATTTTCATCTTTGTCGCCATATTCATCACAACGTTTCGGCCGTTATACGCTCCGGCCTTCTTCAGGTGGTTGGAATGTCGAACTGAACCATTTATTTCGCTCACCGGGATAGACTGTTCTAGTTCCACGTGCCATGTTTGATGGATGTCAGTTATCAGTTATCTCCTGTTAATTTCCCTCTGAAAGTTCTCCACTGCCTTAAACGGGTATTGAACTCTTTGGGTCCTGTCACTGGATCTAACCAACGCCTTTATCCACTGTGCTATGTGAGGACATCTGGGTATGAATTTCTGGGTATTATAAACCTAATGTCTTCATCAGCCATTTTTACCAGTGCTCATATTGCAATTTTTGCTGTTATCATTACATGTTGTTAGCAGAGCTCATATTGCAACTATATTGCTATCATTGCTTTTCTCTGGCACTTCTTATTACTGGTTCCCATATTGTATTTATTTCTATGCTTGGTCGGCTCAGGAGATTTTTGTGGCCTGGCATATGTGCTGATTCCTTAAGTTTACGAATTTTCCAATGGTGTTCCTTGTCAATGATCTCAACCTGATCCCACAGGGGGCGGTGATCTCCCTTCTCTCTCCATATGTGATCAGCCACACCTGATTTTTCTACTTCCCCTCGTGTTACAGCTTTCTGGTGTTCTTGAAGCCTTACCTTGAGGCCTACAGGTTTGGAAGAATATCTCACGTTAATTGCAATCAGTGCACGTTAGTTCAGAGGAATTTTGATTAAAAAAAATTGTTGTTAAATCCGTTCAAAATCAGAAAACTATTTAAAATTACTTCCACTTTACTCAGACAACCCACTCAAAATAAACATGATCAAGAACAGCGTATAACTTTTTTGACAGTAAAGAGTAAATGAGACCTGCAAAACTGTAATCAGTAAACTATTTTAAAATCTCGGATTGCTGGTGAATAGAGAAAAGTAGGCCCACAAATCTCAACTGATCGACCTCAAAATAGGAAGCATATGAGAGCATTTGGCAGCAGTTGGTAGCATCTTATTCTCATCTCATCCCATAAATAGGCTGAACATCAGTATCATGCAACAATCATAATTTAGAAAAAACACGTTTTAAGTTAAGCAAGTACTTTCGAAGAATCATTCATTGAAACATCTGACAACAGATTTATAAATGAGGATCACATCATTCAATGGATTAACAGTATTTTAATGCATACATTATGTTCTACTAGCGAAGTGATTTCGCCATTAATAGCATTAATATTGCTCATTGATTCTATGTATAATTATTTCTTTATATATAAAATATATGCTGCCAATTAGGCAGCATATATTTTATATATAAAGAAATAATCATACATACAATCAATCATATATCAATATATATATATATATATATATATATGTGTGTGTGTGTGTGTGTGTGTGTGTGTGTGTGTGTGTGTGTGTGTGTGTGTGTGTGTACAATGTAATATCCTCTCGGCCTGTCATCTTCAGACTATCACTTGCTCAGCTTCAGGCAGCAATCCTCGTCTGATCAACAGATTCAATTACTTCATGGTATCGAACGTTTTGTTGAAGAATTCATCGGATCAAAGCTGCAATTATTTCTATTACGGATACAGAAACTTGGCTGAAAGATGTCGTAAAACATAAAAGGTCTAAAAAATACATTGGTATCTTAATAATCAGGCTATGTTTATATCTAAATAAATGATTTTGTTAAAAATACTGGTCATTTGGCATTAGTGTTAATTGTATAAAACTATACACGTCCAGAATCTTTCAATCATTTTATAATAAATATGAATGTGGATAGCATGCGTTTTATACGTCTGTAAGTAATCTCATTGCTAGTTGTATATCTAGTGCGTATCCAATATAAAATCGTGTTTCATCTATCTTTAGATATAAATGAATTGGCAATAACTGTAACTACAATAAATATTGATTTTTCAGGTATAATCCGGTTTTCAATAAGACATTCGTTTCCCTGAGGATTTCTGAGATGAAGTGCCATTCAGAAAAGTAAAGCCACTGAGACACAAGGTGGTTAGAGGGTGTGGAAGAATAAGGAACATTAATAATGAGAGTGAAAGGGAAAGAGTAATCAGAAGGATAGAGTGGATAGCGATTGACATTGCATTTAATTTTTTGCAGATTACAGTTGGCTGGAAAGCATGAAGCTGGAAGGAAGTTCTACAAAAGAGAAGTGCGAGAAAATATAATGTCAGCATAGAAGTTACGGCTAAATCTAGTTAGCTCAACTGTAAAGTACAGCGCTTAAATTCAAAATGTCTAGGTACCATAGCAAAGTGCTCGCCCGAACAATTACCATGGAAACTAATAGAAAAGACAGAGGTGTGGGAAAGTGACTGATGACGAGCCACCAGATCAGCACGAATTATATTGCTGATTTTTCTTTGGATATTATCAAAGAGCTCATGGTTAATAAAAGGGGCACAAGATCATAGGCGACAGCAACAGTCGAAGCATAGCGGAATGGTAGACTTATAATTATGTAAGATAGATGGACAAAATGAATCAACTTTCTTAGCAATTTTACATTAGGACTAATATTCTCAGCTTCCCTATTATAATCCCACGGAGCAATAAGCTTGTGGACTAAACCTATCTTGTACAGAGTTGGACTCAATGGAAAAAAAAGACGAGCAGTATTATAACAATACTAAATAAAACACAGCTATATAATCAAAGACAAGAAGAACAAAGCGAAAATACTTTACGCGCGTAGATTAAATAAAGGTTTCAGTTGGAAATCCGCTGAAGGTTACTTGGATCGACAAGCATCTGAGAAGGCTAGAGGATATAACGGATGAAACGTTCTGAGAATAATAAAGATGGGGTAACTGTCCGAATGTAAATACTGTAAATAATAAAACAAGCGTTATATGCTACCTCCGATATATTATATTTTTACTAAAAAAGTTTACCTGAATATTTATGGTATTAGCGGAATTGATATTCAAAATAAATTTAGGGAATGGCAGAAAAACAATCACCTAGAATATGATGAAAATATCAACATGTACTCTGTACCCATGTAGATAGACGATCTACAAAACAAATAATTTTTGATAAAAGAAGAAGATATATTCTTTGTTGGTTAGAAAACAGACATGTACAAGACATATTCAATTCAATGCCTCACAAACGCCTCAAGATGTTGGAAAAAATTGACATCTCAAGAGGTATGCGAGACGCAGATTCAATAGCGAATGATGATAGCATTCAGGATAAGAAAAATTGTAAAAAACTATGAGATTCGAGTTTGCAGAGATTTTTTCATAATTATAAATTACTATGAATGTTTGTCAAGTGATATCTTTAAGGTAATCCTATTTCATTATGATCGATTATTTGTCTATATGAAGATAAAAAAACGAAAATTATATATCCATTTACGCGATAAGTGTGCAACAGCGGGAATCGATGCATTAATGCAGTGGCACAAAATATATATATATATATATATATATATATATATATATATATATAGAGAGAGAGAGAGAGAGAGAGATAGATAGATATGAATTATAAGCATTCTGAGTTTATGCAAGAGTGTATTTTCAAGTCTTCTTTTGTTAATGTAATGTATATAAGGAATACTTTCACACGCACACTCATATATATATGTGTGTGTAAAAAAGATCCCTTAAAAATTTCAACTAACTTATCCATAACGTACTAGCCTTAATTTGGAATTAAAAACAGGCTAGCCGTAATTTGGAATTAAAAACAGGTTTATGTATCAGTAACCTACTCACAATTTGCAACATTTCCACTAATGCACACACACAGATATATATATATATATATATATATATATATATATATATATATATATATATATATATATATATATATATCAACCGACAAGCGTAAAGCTCAATATTGTACGAACTTTTAAAATGACTATTTCTCGTCGCCACCTGAGCAATTTATTTATTTAAAACTTCTCTCTTCATTACACTACATGTTTACACACGGTCACACGCATGGAAAGACAAAGACGCCTATTTGCATGAGATCATGATCGTACGTTGTGCATATCACGCGTTCATACACGTTTCTACGTGATGTGCACACTACGACAGCTGCTATCACTATACATTTACTACTACTGAACGTATTCTCTCACCGATGACATTCTTTACCGATATTCAACCATGATTAAAAGGTAGTTTTAAATTCAGTTTAGCTTTCTCTTATTCGGTTGCGTTTTGCATTGGCTTCTTGCAGGAAGAAACATTTCCGATCAAAAAATTTAAAAGCAAAGTCGGAGAATTTTAAATGTGACTAACTCGGCGTAATTCGCTTTTGCTCATGAAGATCTGTGATCAGATTCAGGAACATCGAAAGATTTTATAAATTTTCGATTGTATTTTTGGTCGTGAGTGCTCCTCATTTCGCCTCAATATCATATACATCTCGGAGAGACGTATATGATTATATCAGATAGCCGAGTTCGATTTCCAGTCGAATCCATTGCATTCACTTATGTACAAATACCCTTGGGAAAAGTATGAATCTCCTTCTTCTCTCTCCCCCCCAGCTATGGGTAAATAGCAGGACAGACCGGCTTTTATAGCCTTTGATGGCCACTGGTCTACAGCAGAATGAAATGGCAACCTACTGCGGGAAAAATTTCCATCGTTTGTCATGTATCGAAAGATACATGATCGGCTAAGCGTGTTTCACGCATGGCATATAACTAACTGATCATATACTTTGTTGGCGCTTTATCTTCTCCGTTTTCTTCTTTCTCTAGTCTACCTTCGTTTCTTTCAACAAAATTGTAATGTTTGAAGGTTTTATCCTGGCTGTTTTATCCTGGCTGTTTTATCCTGGCTAGTGATTAAAAGGATTCAAGTTTCTTTAGCAACCTGA